AAATGAGTGAGCATGTATAGCTAATGTATGTCAATGTTGTTGCCACACACTGACAAGACATCCGAGCAACGTTTCCAGAACGCTTATTGTTGGGTTTGCCTGTGTGGCCAGCCCCCACAGTAATGCTCTGTTCTATGGTAGTGAATGTACAGGTAACTGCCAAAATAAAGGAAACACGTGAGTAAATGGGGGATACAAAGTGTATTGAAATCAGGTGCTTCCACACAGGTGTGGTTCCAGAGTTAATTATGCAATTAACATCCCATCATGCTTAGGGTCAGTGTTGTAGTACTCGAGTGACTTGGACTCACCTTCTCGACCATTGGCAGCCTGGTCTCAGACTAGACGTAACAAAGTAAATGTAAATCCGGGACACTCAAACAGTATGATATGTTATGTTTGGTATGGTTTCATAAGACAGAAGGTTACTTAAGGCAAAAACTAAAGGATGGTGGTTGGTCGGGGTGGATGGGTGGGTGTATAATGTGAAAGTCTAGCAATTCTAAGGTTGCGTGTTTGAATCTCATCATGGACAACTTTAGCATTTTAGCAACTTTTCAACTACTTACTACTTTTTAGCTACTTTGCAACTCCTTAGCATGTTAACTAACCCTTCCCCTTACCTTAACCCTTTTAGCTAACCCTTCTCCTAACCTTAACCCTTTAACCTAACTCCTAGCCTAGCTAACATTAGCCAGCCAGCTAACATTAGCCACCTAGCAATCGTTAGCCACCACAAATTGGAATTCTTAACATATCATACGTTTTGCAAATTCAGAACATATCATACGAATTGTAATTTGTAATATATCATACGAAATGGATGATGGACATCAAAAATTAATACATAAACGAAACATATCATACTAAATGGGGTGTCTCGGATTTACATACAGAATAATACAAAATGCTCTGAGACCAGGATGCCATAGGTGAGTCGGACTCGCCTTCTTGTAACTTATATTTGCACTTGGACTGGATAGTCTACTATGATAAGCAGAATATAAGCAGCACTGGGTGTGCAGAGCAGCGAGGATTCTGTTCTCTAGCAGTGGGAAGGACGTGCTACACCAGGCACATGCAGCCTACATCAGCTGGTGTGCTGCGGGGGAGCAAGCGATGATTGTGGGCACACAGGCTCCGCTCCGGCTCCGATCATAGGCTACACATCGCGCAAGTGACTCTCTTGCTTCCCCGTAACCACCAGTCACCAGCCTACTATTTAGCTTTGCCTGGGTAACAAACACAAACTTCTTTACGAAATTGAAAACAGTAGTATTGAGTTTAATAGTAAAACAACAGTCTAGCTATTTGTCTCTCTATCCCCTTGAGTATAGAAAAGTAGGCCATCTTTGAATTTGCTGTCTCGCTCTACCCTCCCACTTCCTCCCCTGCATCCCATAGCCAGGTTCTGACAAGTCTCCCTTTAGTTTTCACTCTGCAATAAAAAACCTACACAAATGTTAGTGGGCGATAACAAAAAAGTAGCTGAGAGCCTGACTTACTATTAATTTATGTAGTAGATGAGTAGTTAAACACAGGTATTGAGTAGAACTTGTGCGGTAGCGATGAATAGTAAATTAGTTGGGTTTCCTCATGAGGGAGTGGCGATATATACTGCCATCTGGCGGTGACTAGAATTAAGGCTCAAGTAACTCTTTGGCTCAGCTTACCCCACTCTCCCCTAATACAAACAATCCTGAAGAATACGGAGAAAAGTAGGTTCCCTGTAGCTCAGTTGGTAGAGCATGGTGTTTGCAACGCCAGGGTTGTGGGTTTGATTCCCACGGGGGGGACAGTATGAAAAATGTATGCACTCACTAACTGTAAGCCGCTCTGGATAAGAGCGCCTGCTAAATGACTAAAATGTAAATGTAAACTTGTGCGGTAGCGATGAATAGTAAATTAGTTGGGTTTCCTTATGAGGGAATGCCGATATATACTGCCATCTGGAGGTGACTAGAAACAATTGCATAATAAGGCCTATTATAAATTGGACTTGAGACTCGACTGGTGACTCGGACTCGACTTCAGCCATAGGGGCTCGTATAAAAATGCCAATTTTTTTTACGTGACCATTATTTTGGCTACCAAAGAAAAGATCTCAGTGATACAGCGTTTTCCACCACCATCAACAAAACACCAAATTATGGAATTTCTCGTAGAAGAATGGTGTCGCATCACTCCAAAAGAGTTCCAGACACTTGTAGAGTCCATATCAAGGCGCATTTTCGCTGTTCTGGTGGCTCGTGGTGGCCAAACGCCCTATTAAGACACTATGTTGGTGTTTCCTTTATTTTGTCAGTTACCCGTATATGTAAATGTTATATATGTATGTATGTAGTGTGTGCATACAATTTCAGCGGGTAAAAAAACAATCTAACATGAAAACATGAAACAGCCACAGGTAGTTGAGTCTTTCTCGTCATCTCCTCAACCCTCATCTTTGTCTGTCTTCCTGTGTCCCTGTAGCAACCCAACTTGCTCTGACTCAGCCAGGAGTTAGTGGAGTGGGTTCTGCCAGTCTGTGTCTACACGTAGGGACCAGAGTTCAAGTCATGTGAACAGGAAAAACTCTGGGCCCTAGTTACAAGTATTGCTTCTTTTCATTTTGAGCTATTTACTTATCGCTCTGCAGTAGCTGCATTTAAACTCAGCAAAAAAAGAAACATCCCTTTTTCAGGACCCTGTCTTTCAAAGATAATTAGTAAAAATCAAAATAACTTCACAGATCTTCATTGTAAAGGGTTTAAACACTGTTTCCCATGCTTGTTCAATTAACCATAAACAATTAATGAACATGCACCTGTGGAACGGTCGTTAAGACACTAACAGCTTACAGACAGTAGGCAATTAAGGTCACAGTTATGAAAACTTAGGACACTAAAGAGGCCTTTCTACTGACTCTGAAAACACCAAAAGAAAAATGCCCAGGGTCCCTGCTCATCTGCGTGAACGTGCCTTAGGCATGCTGCAAGGAGGCATGAGGACTGCAGATGTGGCCAGGGCAATAAATTGCTATGTCCGTACTGTGAGACGCCTAAGACAGCGCTACAGGGAGACAGGATGGACAGCTGATCATCCTCGCAGTGGCAGACCACATGTAACAACACCTGCACAGGATCGGTACATCCGAACATCACACCTGCGGGACAGGTACAGGATGGCAACAACAACTGCCCGAGTTACACCAGGAACGCACAATCTCTCCATCAGTGCTCAGACTGTCCGCAATAGGCTGAAAGAGGCTGGACTGAGGGCTTGTAGGCCTATTGTAAGGCAGGTCCTCACCAGACATCACTGGCAACAACGTCGCCTATGGGCACAAACCCACCGTCGCTGGTCCAGACAGGTCAGATGGTCAGATTCACGATTATCGTCGGAGGAATGAGCATGACATGACCCGTTCTGTGCGTGATTTCCTGCAAGACAGGAATGTCAGTGTTCTGCCATGGCCAGCGAAGTGCCCGGATCTCAATCCTATTGAGCACATCTGGGACTTGTTGGATCGGAGGGTGAGGGCTAGGGCCATTCCCCCCAGAAATGTCTGGGAACTTGCAGGTGCCTTGGTGGAAGAGTGGGGTAACATCTCACAGCAAGAACTGGCAAATCTGGTGCAGTCCATGAGGAGGAGATGCACTGCAGTACCTAATGCAGCTGGTGGCCACACCAGATACTGACTGTTACTTTTGACCCCCCCTCTTTGTCCAGGGACACATTATTCCATTTCTTTTAGTCAAAATCTGTGGAACTTGTTCAGTATATGTCTCAGTTGTTGAATCTTGTTATGTTCATACAAATATTTACACATGTTACGTTTGCTGAAAATAAACGCAGTTGACAGTGAGAGGACGTTTCTTTTTTTTGCTGAGTTTAGGTAGGGCCTAGAGTTTTTCCTGGTGAGGAAAAACTCCAGATCCTATTATAGGATCATGACTGAGTGCAGGGATGTTTACCATGTAGTCAGTGTAAAGGTGAGTGTAATGGGATAGTGGCCCGATTTCATATAACCGCAAGACCTGAGTCTACATTTACTTTCAGAATAGCTACTGTAATATGACCCGCTCCAACCAAGTTCTCTTCTCTGTGGGGTTATTGAGCATTTCCTGCTCTACAGCAAATAAAAATATCCCAAATCTATACCTGATATAAAGGGATTATGCAGCGACATGAAATCTGTTCGGAACCCACAGTATAAAAAGTGCATGGATGAGGCTTTTATAAAGGGCCTTGCATTGGAGATCACAGGGGAGGGGGGGACAGTATACCGTAGCTACCGGCCAATAAGGGAATACAAGACGTTGTTATTATTATTACATGAGCCTATGGGGCAAGTCCTATCATTGCAACTATATTCACAGTGCAACAGCATGCTTTTAAACAAGGACTATATAAAGGGCTCTATTCAATCTGTATTGCAGAAATTCTACATTACAGCGATTGAAATTTAAAGGCAATGTTCCCGCGTTAGCGGAGACTGTATTCACGGTAAACGCTGCATATGTCGGCTCAATCGGAAATTACCAATACATTTTCTAGCGCGCAATCTGAAACGCTTCAGCGATACAGATTGAATAGAGCCCTAGGTCTACATTAGATCTCTATCAGTCTCTACATAATCAGACAGTGCGTGCCTCTTGTGTGTGTTCATTTGACACTAATTATTTTCCATCTTGCACAATCATTTCCCAATCACCTTTTTTTTTACTTGATTCTTTCTCCAATGTCACTGTTTTTGTTTCTCTAAATTGCATAATGAGTTGACTAGTATTCATCTCATCCTGCTATTCTAATGACTTCACCTCTCTCTCTCACTAGCTCTCCCTCAGGTACAGCCTCATTTCTAACCATGTCGGCCCCTCCCCCTCCCTCTCTCTCCATCTCTACACTTCTCACCATCCCCCGTCCTGTTTTTTCCCTCCATAACTCATCTCCTTTATTATTTCCCCTCCCCTTTTCACCCCCCCACCCGCCCCTCTCTCAGTCCGTCTGGTGCGTCACATTGCACTGAGGTCATGGCAGGAGCGTGATTTCTGTCGGAGGATCTTGCTGCCCTTGTGTCTGCTCATCTCTCTGTACTGACCCCTGTCCCGGTCTCCTCGGCCGTAGTAGCGCGGCACCAGGCCAGCCAGGAAGCGCTTGGCCTTGCTGGTCAGGCTCTCCCTGCGCCCTGCCCCAGGGTCCCCCTCCGTCCAGCCCGGCCCGACGCAGTCGCCCCTGGCAGCCCTCACCGCTCCCTCCAGCAGTTCAGTGGTACCGTGGTCCAGGGAAGCAGACAGCTCCAGATACTGGCAGTCATACATCATGGCACTGGAGTGGGCCTCTGGAACAGGGAGCGATAGAGAGGGGTGGGGATGTAGAGAATAGAAATGCCATGTTTAGTGGAAAGGAAAAAATCTGATCAGATCAGCAGGGCTTATCATAATATCTACTACATATAACAACTGATTGAATGGAGTCTTAACCTGATAAGAGTGAAATGAAAATAACATTGAATTGAATGGAGCTGAGCTGAGGCAGGGATGAGCCACAATGAGATCAGCGCAACATGAGATCATAGTGTAGTGGTGGCAGTGGCTGGCTCTGGCTGTGGCTCTGGGTGACGTGGAGATGTGAGGGTTGGCCACTGTTCTCTATGACTAAGCAGGGCCTCTGTGTCCCTCACAGCACTCCAACAGCAGATTCAGAGAGCAGGGATGAGACAAGATAAGGTGAGACAGAGGGGAGGGAGAAAGGTGCAGGGACAAAGAGGGAGAGAGGAGGGGAGGGGAGGGGAGGAGAGGGAGAGGAGGGAAGGAGGGGAGGAGAGAGAGAAAGAGATTGAGTGCAGGGACAAAGAAGAAGAGAGGGAGAGAATGCAGAGTAAACAGCACATCGTAGCTGTCTGATGAAAACCTTGTAACTCAATTTGACTTTAGGACCAAGAACATGTATTTAAACAATTGTTTCATAATTGTTTGCTAATGGGAAAATATGGTCATTTTATTACATTTCCTGAAAAGTTAATGTTTTGGAGATGAGGTTTTCATCAGACAGCGACAACATGCAAAGAGCCGCTCAAGCAGATATCAATCAACAGCATTGTGTTATTAAAGATGGGAAAGCTTCACCCTCACAGCAAATGAATGAATAACATACTGTATACTGTGAGAGAAGGAGAGGGGAGAGAGAAATAAATGTCACCGTAATTCCATAAATACATTTTATGACCTAAACCAATCTCAACCACAAGCACCAAGCACAATATGAATGATGAGTTGTCCACCAGCCAGGCAAGTTCACTTCCTTACTCAGGCTCAAATATCGGTCAGGGAGTCAGGGCTCAGAATACCATAGATAGATGGATACCAAAGGCCTGTCAGAATGCAGAGGTAAGACAGATGTAGCATTTCTATATCGATGACCACATCATTACTGCAGTTCTCTCAGAGGGGGAATATGCTGAGCACGGGGGTAAGGAGCAGTATCCTAAGAATAACCCTCCTCTCTCCTTTACTCTCTCTCTCTATTCATCTCGCTGACTGCATGCTGAACCCATGACTGAGCATGAGCTCATGCACAACACACACACACACACACACAGACACACCTTTCCACTCTCTTCTGGTGGGCTGGACAACCTATACTAAACAAAAAAGATTTCACCCAAAACAATAGGACTCACACACACACACTCACACAACCGTCCCCACTCAATCACTTTTATTCACATTCTCCTACACCAGTCCCTGTAGCATGGACATCCCAGGCATTTCTACTCTCTCCTCTCTGTTCAATCCCCTTATCACAGCTTTCCACACATGGCACAAGCAGTGTCACCCACACCACACTGAGAGAGTCGGGAGAGGTGTGAGAGTGTGGTTGCCGGCTGGTATCTTTAAGTGTGAGTGTGTGATTGCGTGCTGGTAGAGGTACACGTGAAAAGCACACACACACACACACACACACACACACACACACACACACACACACACACACACACACACACACACACACACACACACACACACACACACACATTAAGATAGTGACGCCAGCCCTCTGCGCTAGAGAGATCATCCAAATAAAGTGGGGGAAGTCTCCAAAAACAACACAGAACAGGAGGCGAGGCATACAGCTGAAGTAACCCAGCGGGGGATGAGATAGGAGGGAGAGCTACGTGTCCATAAACACGTATACAAGTAGGTCGAGGTCACTGCTTTAATTGTGAACAGGTATGATTCAATAATAATACAAGGAAAACAACAACTAGGGGTTGTGGCCTATTTTCTGTTGCTTACTGTAGGCTATGTGACTATGGGTTTTGCATGGTAATTACGGATGAGGATACAGAGACATAAACATAGACAAAAACATTTCCACAAGAATAGATTCATGTGGTTCCAGAATCAACTTTGTGCATCATGTCAGAATGGAACAACGGTCCACAGAAACTGAACGTAGCCAACCTATTTCCCCGGCCCTAGAGAATGTGTGCTTTTCAATCCACTGGAAGCCATGTCGCAGTAAATCACTGAGCCAAACTGGTGCTTATGGGTTCATCCGGTAACAATAACATGGGTCCATTTTCTCTCCGATAAGGAGATTGCAATGGAAAACATTTCACTTCCCATATTGCTCCTCACAGCAGCCAGGAATTGATTTTTGGTGATCACAGATAAACGGTCTCTGGCTCTCAGATGGAAATACAGTTATAGGCGACAAATTGCATAATAGAGGCACAGATTAGGCGGGCCATGATGACAGAGAGAAGCAGGAAAACGGTAGAAAGCAGAGACCAACATTCATAGGAAAGGGAGGGAGCCATGCTGTGCTGAATGTTTAGAGGCACTGCCGGTGTTAAAATGACAATGGTTAGGAAAGGGTGGGGGTTCATAGGAAAAGGAGTTATGTATTGCATCTGTAAGTATGTATTTCATCCATTTTCATGCAATACTGTATTATCTTGCTGCTGGTGACTCTCAGATCCACCTCTACGCAGACAAAAACATTTTGTATACATCTGGCCCTTCATTGGACACTGTGTTAACAAACCTCCAAACGAGCTTCAATGCCATACAACACTCCTTCCGTGGCCAACTGCTCTTAAACGCTAGTAAAACTAAATGCATGCTCTTCAATCGAACACTGCTTGCACCCGCCTGCCCGACTAGAATCACTACTCTCGGCGGCTCTGACTTAGAATATGTGGACAACTACAAATACCTAGGTGTCTGGTTAGACTGTAAACTCTCCTTCTAGACTCACATTAAGCATCTCCAATCCAAAGTTAAATCTAGAATCAGCTTCCTATTTCGCAACAAAGCCTCCTTCACTCATGCTGCTAAACATGCCCTCGTAAAACTGACTATCCTACCGATCCTTGACTTCGGCGATGTCATTTACAAAATAGCTTCCAACACTCTACTCAGCAAATTGGATGTAGTCTATCACAGTGCCATCCGTTTTGTCACCAAAGCCCCATATACTACCCACCATTGTGACTTGTACGCTCTTGTTGGCTTGCCCTCACTACATATTTGTCGCCAAACCCACTGGCTCCAGGTCATCTATAAATCCCTTCTAGGCAAATCCCCACCTTATCTTAGCTCATTAGTCACCACAGCAACACCCACCCGTAGTATGCGTTCCAGCAGGTATATCTCACTGGTCATCCCCAAAGCCAACACCTCCTTTGGTCGCCATTCCTTACAGTTCTCTGCTGCAAATGACTGGAACGAACTGCAAAAATCTCTGAAGCTGGAGACACTTATCTCCCTCACTAACTTTAAGCATCAGTTGTCAGAGCAGCGTACCGATCACTGCACCTGTACACAGCCCATCTGTAATTAGCCCACCCAACTACCTCATCTCCATATTGTTATTTACATTGTTATTTATTTTGCTCATTTGCACCCCAGTATCTCTATTTGCACATCATCTTCTGCACATCTATCACTCCAGTGTTAAATTATAATTGTAATTATTTTGCACTATGGCCTATTTATTGCCTTACCTCCATAACTTACTACATTTGCACTCACTGAATATAGATTTTCTATTGTGTTATTGACTGTACGTTTTGTTTATTCCATGTGTAACTCTGTGTTGTTGTTGTTTTTTCCGCACTGCTATGCTTTATCTTGGCCAGGTCGCAGTTGTAAATGAGAACTTGTTCTCAACTGGCTTCCCTGGTTAAATAAAGGTTAAATAAATAAAAAGCTCTATGCACTGTACTGTAGGTGATCACCTGAGAATGGTGGCACAAGGTGGAAAGGAGAGACCAGTAGATTGATTGATAGGAGGTACATTATAAACCGCTCTGGGCGCTCAAGTGATAATGGAGTGGGTGTGTGTGTCCCTACCCTCTGTGCTGATCTCCCGAGAGCGGACAAGGTCACTCTTGTTGCCCACGAGGATGATGGGAGTGTGGGGCAGTGACTCCCTGAGGATGAGGCGGAGCTGGGCGGTACGGTGGAAACTTCTCCTGTCTGTCACAGAGAACACCAGCACAACCACCTCACACTGCAGCGTGGACAGGTCCTACAACACCAAAACACACACAGAGAGTCATTAATGACAATGATACACACTTTGTCGCTGTCGGATGAAAACCTCTTATCTCCAAAACAGAAACTTTTCAGGAATATTTTACCATTAACGAACACACATTTTCAAAACTTCCAAAGCTACTTTGAATACATTTTCTTGGTCTTAGAGCCATGAAATGTTCAGAGTACATTGAGGAGAGTTACTGCTTTCAATACATAAACAAAAAGAGCTAAGAGGTTTTCATCAGACAGCGACGACTTGTTCTTAATAACCTACTTTTAATTTGTATATTTCTTTGTGTGCATTTTTGTATTTACGTACTCTGCTGAGTGGACTGACAGGGGCTTTGTCCCAAATCCAACAACACATTGTGCCCTTGTGAACATCACTCTTCTGTTTGTGACTTCTGACCCTTTTAGCAGTGGCCTCTTCCCACTGAAGCACTGTTTCACTGGGCTTCAATTAATGTCTCCCTCCCTCTAGTCGTGGCCTGTATATTAAGCTTTGGCTCTGGAGGACAGGCCTCTCAGATTCACTCACTCAGACACACAGGAGAAGAGCTGCCTTCCTCCTCCTCTCCTGTGTCTGACTGTGTCTGTTTCTGTCTGTGTGCCCTACATCCACAAAACCATTCTAATATAGCACTCTGAAGGTGAATTTCAGCCCTCTGGAGAGAGTCTCCGCCTGAAGAATTCACAGCTCCCACAAGCCAAAGAGGATTGCAGCTCCACAGCAGGAAATTCATGGTCTCCGGAACCCACTCCATCTCCCTCTGGAGGAGAGGGGAGCTAGCGGCATGGAAGTGAGCCTGGCCACCTGTCACCTTCTGGGCTGGGCGCGGGGGACGAGGAGGGGGAGGAGAGGGGAGCAGAGGGGGGAGTGGGACTACCGGGCTTTGTGGAGGGAGAGACAGACACTAATCTTTGTAAGCAGCGGAGAGAAACACGGCCACGTTGGAGATCGATTGGCGGCGTCATGACGGAGAGCTCTCCGGGGTAACTGTGAAGGGCTTTTCATCAGAGGGATGCTTGCTAACTCAACACTGTGTTTGTCCTCCTTTAGTCAGTCAGCTCCTCTCTGTTCTGTTTCACTGCTGCCGCTCTGGCCATCTGTCAGGGTATACAGCCTTCCCCTCACACACACAAACACACGTGCGAGTATACATACACACACACACACACAGCTCACACGTGTACTACCCTCTCACATGCACACACCCATAAACATTAGGCGAGCTTGTGAGAGTCAGTTAACTTGTCACTTAGCGTATGTCACCATATATTCACCATACATTTTTAAACTCCAGAGTAAAAGCCGTAAACAGCAACACAACTGCAACCTGACATTTATACCAGGAATGTCATTCAGTATGACGCGTAAATGCAATACAGAAAGACTGAATCTACGTGATATTTACTAGAGCAAATATTTTGTGAAGTTAAAAGTATTATTTCAAAAGGAAGCTGAGGCTGATATCCAGAACATTCCAGACATACAGTTCACTTGTGTGTTTAGCCACTCTGATAAAGATTCCTACAGAAAATACAATGTAATCCCTTTATAATAATGTCTCCAAGACAGTGTCATTGTCTGTCTTCTCCTTCTGTGTCCTGTGTTAAACTATGAACTCACTAGTACTATTACATCTATTTGCCCTAAAGCCACTTCTTTACAAAAACAAGATGAGTTATCAGAGCTCAAAGTAAAGCAGCTTACAGCCTGAACATGGAAATCAGTTCAGAAATCCCACCTCATAACATCTAAAACACACACATGGAACACAAACAGGGACTGGGATTAAAGAGAAACTGTCCCTAAAAACCAACTTCTCCATTTGAAAATGGTCTATGTGGCATCTATATGAGTCAGAAACATTTATTATAGTGTAAAATGTACTACAAAATGTATATAGGATAAGATTTTGGTCATAAAGTCAGTCTCGAGACAAAACTAGCCAGTTATAGCATATTGTGTTGTAGGACAGCTGCGCTGACTCAAGACCGGGCATTCAACTGGCAGTTGATACCGTTTCCACGGTAACACATCTTCACAAATCAATGTATTGGTCCCGTACACAGTTTAGCAGGTGTTATAGTGGTGCAGTGAAATGCTTATGTTACTAGCTGCTAACAATGCAGTCAAATATCAAACAATTAAAATGTAAAGAAAAATACAAAGCTAAAAAAGGCAAGAAATCAAGAATGGCAGGACGAATCCAATTAACAAATCCAAATAGCACTATCAAAATGCAATCTATACATATGTACACCAGGGAAATTTACACAAGATAAACTAAGAATGATATGTACAGCAGTAGTTATATTAGAGTGAGCTATGTCAAGAATCCAGTATATAAATAAATATGCGGTGTGTATAAACAGTGTAACAAAAATACAATGTCCAGTAGTATAAATATTTGAATAAGCTATGGTCGGGGATGCAGTACTTAAATACACAGTGTGAAACGGGAAGTGACCAGTGCTTCAATGTCTCTATAACATGGGACAGCAGCGTTGGCTGTGAGTGTGTGTGTGTGTGTGTATGTGTGTGTATGTGCGTGTGTTCGTGAGTATGAGGTGTGTGTGTGTGTGATAGCTTGTGTGTGTGTTTTGTGTGAGTGAGTGTGCATTACCTGGCAGATGGCTAGAGATGTCTGTTCAACAGTCTGATGGCCTGGTAATAGAAGCTGTCTCTTAGTCTCTCACTGTTGGCTTTGATGCATATGTACTGTCTCCGTCTGTCTGATGGTAGCCGAGTGAACAGTCCATGGCTTGGGTTAACGGAGGTCCTTGATGATCTTCTTGGCCTTTCTTTGACACCGGGTGCTGTAGATGTCCTGCAGAGAAGGCAGCGTGGCCCTAGTGAGGTGTTGGGCTGTCTGCACCACCCTCTGGAGAGCCATGCGGTTGAGCGTGGAGCAGTTGCCATACCAGGCGGTGATGCAGCCCGACAGAATGCTCTCAATGGTGCATCTGCAGACGTTTGTGAGGGTCTTATGGGCCATGCCGATTTTCTTTAGTCGCCTGATGTTGTAGAGGCGCTGTTGCACCTTCTTCACCACAATGTCGGTGTGGCAAGACCAATTTCAGGTCCTCAGTGATGTGCACGCCAAGGAACTTGAAGCTTTTGACCCTATCCACTGCGGCCCCGTCGATGAGGATGGGGGCGTGCTCCCTCTTTGGTCGCCTCTTCTGTCTCATGGTGTGATGAAACTAAGTTGCAAGCTACCTTAATAAGGTGTTGTAGAATGAGTGTCTTATGAAACACAGTCCAGACTGGCTCTTGCTATCTTGCCATAACAGATTTGACAGAGAAATATCAGCTAGACTAGCTGCTGTCAGCTTGGCTAAACACAAGGTCAGCGCAGGCTTTAGCCTACACATAGAACTGAATTAGGGCGGCAGGTAGCCTAGGGGTTAAGAGTGTTGGGCCAGTAACCAAAGGTTCGAATCCCCGAGCCGACTACCTCAAAATACTGCCGATATGCCCTTGAGCAAGGCACTTAATCCTAATTGCTCCTGTACCTGGGGCGGCAGGTAGCTTAGTGGTTAAGAGCGTTGTGCCAGTAACCGAAAGGTCTCTGGTTCTAATCCCCGAGCCTACTTGGTGAAAAATCTGTCGATGTGCCCTTGAGCAAGGCACTTATCCCTAATTGCTCCTGTAAGTCGCTCTGGATAAGAGCGTCTGCTAAATGACTAAAATGTCAAATGTAGCTGACCATCTTGAGATGGCGAGTCAGTAAGGAGGGGAGAAGTCCTCAACTTCAAAACGTTGTTCTCTCCATATCAAAGATAGCTTACCTCGCTGTACTCACTACTGTCCTTGTTTGTTGTGATTGAAAGACACACTCAAGAAACACCCACATCAAACCACACCCCCAAGACAACTCATTTGGCTTCAGCAGAGAAACTGGATATAATGACTAGATGCTTTTCAAGCTCCCGCCTATTCCTCTCTTTGGATTGGTGGATACATCTCGTTATTTGAATATCTTTTGAATATTCGATGAGGGGGGTTGACGTCAACCGCCTGTATTCAATGGAGAGTGAGATGCTATGCTAGCCTCATGAATATGGAGACAGTTTTGAATTTCAACAGGGACAACTCTGATATAAAGTGTTTCTTCTCAAGGTTGCCGGGATGTCACGTGCATCACACTTATGTCAGTACACTTGTAACAACCTAAGCATTACGAAACTTCTATTAGATCAAATAAGCCTCATGTATCAAAATAGCAATTCATTTTTATCTTGACTAAATTCGAATACAAAAACTCCTCACTTGCTTAATAATTAATGATCTGCTTAACGTGATTTTGGGCGGAGTAAACCCTCTCCTCTTCCTCTCTGGCTTCAGTCATGGCCGCTAGCATTTCTTAATGACCAAGCTTCGAAAGAAGGCCGAATTAGGAAGTTCAGTCGTTCTTTAAAGAAGATTTAAAAAATCAGTCCAGGGTCCAGATCGTCCAGCACCACAAGATAATAAAGTGACAGAATAAAATAGGTAAAGAGAAAGATGAATGGAGCAGGAGAGAGAGAGGAGAGGAGATAGAGAGATATAGGCCCAGACCTTCCTCTGGTTGAGGAGTCAAAATCGGATAATTGGATGTAGCTCTTTAGTGTAGCTGAGTGCTGGGTTGGTATCTTGGGGCTGCATTGAGGCGCCACACCCCTCTGGACAAGCATTAGAGGTCAGCTCCGGCTGTACACACATGCAGCATAGACACACAACAATAGATACTGACCGCTCTGTACAGACATACATAAGACTGCTCTACATACACAAATATACAAGTCTACAAACTGACCTCGCTACACTGCAGAACTCCCACCTCCCTTCACACATACACAACGATATAGACTGACTTCTCTACACAAACAAAAACAATGCAGAATGACCAGTCTACACAAATGCACGACAACAGCCTGTCACAACAACCAGGCTACACACATACAGAACAACAGAATGACCTGTCTACATAAATACGCAACAGTGCAGCCTAACAAATACACACATCACTGTAAAGACAAATATCTCTTCACAAATACCTGTACACACCACTGCACACTGACCTCTCTATACAGACACAAAACACATCCCTAAATCCTTACTAGAAAATATGATTTTACACACCACAAGACTTGACCCTCCACAGATAAACACAACATCACACACTCTAAAAACCACACACCACAGAATCACACACATCCTTGTCTCCGTACAAAATGGCTAACACACTATATATACAAAAGTATGTGGACACCCCTTCAAATGAGTGGATTCGGCTATTCAGCCACACCTGTTGCTGACAGGTGTATAAAATCGAGCACACAGCCATGCAATCTCCATAGACAAACATTGGCAGTTGAATGGCCTTACTGAAGAGCTCAATGACTTTCAACGTGGCACCGTCATAGGATGCCACCTTTCCAACAAGTTAGTTCGTCAAATTTCTGCCCTGCTAGAGCTGCCCCGGTCAACTGTAAGTGCTGTTATTGTGAAGTGGAAACGTCTAGGAGCAACAACAGCTCAGCCGCGAAGTGGTAGGCCACACAAGCTCACAGAACGGGACCGCCGAGTGCTGAACCGTGTAAGAATGTTCTGTCCTCGGTTGCAACACTCACTACAGAGTTCCAAACTGCCTCTGGAAGCAACTTCAGCACAAGAACTGTTTGTCAGGAGCTTCATGAAATCAGTTTCCATGGCCGAGCAGCTGCACACAAGCCTAAGATCACCATGTGCAATGGCAAGCGTCGGCTGGAGTGGTGTAAAGCTCACCGCCATTGGACTCTGGAGCAGTGGAAACGCGTTCTCTTGAGTGATGAATCACACTTCACCATCTGGCAGTCCGACGGACGAATCTGGGTTTGGCAGATACCAGGAGAACGCTACCTGCCCCAATGCATAGTGCCAACTGTAAGGTTTGGTGGAGGAGGAATAATGGCCTGGGGCTGTTTGTAATGGTTCGGGCTAGGCCCCTTAGTTCCAGTGAAGTGAAATCTTAACGCTACAGCATACAATGACATTCTAGACGATTCTGTTCTTCAAACTTTGTGGCAACAGTTTGGGGAAGGCCCATTCCTGTTTCAGCATGACTATGCCCTAGTGCACAAAGCAAGGTCCATACAGAAATGGTTTGTTGAGATCGGTTTGGAAGAAGTTGACTGGCCTGCACAGAGCCCTGACCTCAACCCATCGAACACCTTTGGGATGAATTGGAACGCCGACTGCGAGCCAGGCCTAATCACCCAACATCAGTGCCCGACCTCATTAATGCTCTTGGGGCTGAATGGAAGCAAGTCCCCGCAGCAATGTTCCAACATCTAGTGGAAAATCTTTCCAGAAGAGTGGAGGCTGTTATAGCATATGGGGGACCAACCCCATATTCATACCCATAATTTTGGAATGAGATGTTCGACAAGCAGGTGTTCACATACTTTTGGTCATGTAGTGTATGTACTGGCCTACTTCAACTGACCACAGAGTCCATCCAAGGTTTTCTAGCATAAATATTACACTTAACAGTTATCAAATGATTATGGACACCTCCAGCAGACATACAGTGTATTTTGAGAGGCTTACTGGTGTAGTAATGAATGGCTCCACACTGAGATCCATTCACTCACAGCTGGCTCAGACCTTCAGCATGGAGAAAGCCTGGTGGTGAATACAGATGAATAGCCTGTCATTAGAGAGAGGAAGTACTAGAGAGCCAACCCACAGCCATCAAAACACCTTGGCCCCTCCCATTCACCGTGAAAGATGGTGGCTGATTGGCTGTGTGAATGATGTACACAGAGAACGACCAATGGTACATTAAATGTAACATGTACAGAGGAAATCCTCGGCCTGTCAGGTCACGGCCAAGCATGCACTGGCTATTTTAGGAAGCTGGATGACTTATTTAAGCAATTCTTCTCCCTGACGTCAAGAGCACTCCAAGTCCCATGGCTAGCTGAAGACATGCTCGGAGAGCCGCTGTGTGTGTAGACGCTCTGAGCGCTGTGTGTGTGTGTACTCTGTGAAATCTTCTGTGATGATATAGCTGGATGACTGTGAGAGCTGCCAACAGTGTGTGACTCGGTTGCTTTGACATTGAGGAAAGTGCAACTTGAGTAACAGCAGGTGTGAATCAAGGAACCACAATAAATCACCATATACAGTAGTTATTTTTTTTTTTGTATCCGATAAAATACCCAACTATAATTAGCTGGGTTATGATGAAATACTGTACACGAAGCTAGAATAAAACCAATGTTTTCCCCGGGGAGCCAGAAGCTTTGCAGCCCAATGCTTCTACATGATTTGATCCATGTGGGGGATTTGTTCAGTCCACTGGTCACCATGGTAACCTGGGGAGGGTGGGGCACTCATGGAATAGGGGACTAGCTCAGGACTCTGGAGCTAGTCAAAGTCCTCAGAGGAGGAGCTCTGCTGCTCCTGTCAGTGTCAAGGGTCATTTCATTTGATGGGAAGCTTGTCGTGGCATAAGCCTAAGCAGTGAAAGGAGGGTGTGTGTGACAGCGCGTGTGTGTGTGCGTGCATATGTGTCTATGCGTGTGTGTGTGTGTGTGTGTGTTGGGGGGAGAGGGAGCTGGTCCAGTCCCCTCTCTCTCTGCTGCTGGGCTGGAGCAGCTCCAAATCCCGCTGGCCTGCTTATGTTGCCATGGCTTAATACCAGCGCTTGCATTAACACGCAGAGAATAACAAATGTAATTGACTTTCAGAGAGACTTAACTTCAACAAAAAAGGGTCAGTTCTGAGTATGAAAGGGAGCACACAAAAGAGAGTGAGCGGGAGATGGATTTTGAGATGACGACACAGCTGTAGGAAAGAGGTCAACTCGGGAAGAGATGTAGCGAGGAGAAAGAGAGAGAGAGAGGTACTGGAGAAAGGGAGACCAGACAGATATAAAGAAGTGAAAGATATTGCGAAATGCCTTTAAATGGAGTTCCCCTGAGCTAGGTTTAAATAATTCAGACTTAGTAAATCAAGGTGGACTCCTGAGGGCTATCCTACAATGCAAGCTAGATCTTCTGAGGGTTTTTGTAAAGCTAGCCAGCTTCAGTTAGTTTCACATTCCAGCTCAGGCTTCATCCGTATTCATAGATATTGCTCGTCGCTTTTTTCCCATCGATACAATAATTTATTAAGTCACACTAAAGTTTTACTCTGCGTGAAGTTTCAAATGCATTCTGTCATTACTAAATGTGTAATGTGATAGGTATTTCAACAATACTATTAAAAAATAACAAATAACATTTGATTAATAAAATATTGAATCACTTGTCTTCCTCAAATGAAGGGGATGTTGACGCAATCTTTGTGAGCGGGAGGGAATCTGATTTCATTGGTCCTCAACTCACGGCTCAGACACTTCATTCAGGATAAATGGAGTTAGCCCTGAGAAATGTACCTGGCTAAAAGGTGGTACCTGTTATCCCGAGTTGAACTCAGAGTTGACTAAAGTTACTTCGCTAACTCCTCAAACCAGGTACGTAGTATAGGGCTCTGGACATCTGGTATAGAGACAGACTAGGAACTCGATTCAATCCACATCGCAGAAGTTCAGTGCTATAGCGCAATTAAAATGTAAAGGCAATGTTCCCGCGTTCGCAGAGACTGCATTCATGGTAAACGCTGCATATGACGACTCAATCGGAAATTACCTTTCAATTCCAATCGCGCTATAGCGCTGAACTTCCAAGATACGGATTGAATCGAGCCCTAGGTCCCGTCGCTGTATACATAGCACTGCACTGACCGTACCATCATCACAGAAGGCTTTTACATGGTTCATATTATACTATTACTGTGTGCACTTTGTCATCATGAAATCCTCAGTGACACACACACCACATAACACAGATGAGCCTTAAAGCAGCTGTGCTCCACTACCCTCATTATAATTCACTGAATACGACAAAACATCTAATTCAAAGCACATTCAAAATCACTTTCAAATGGTGCCTTAAGTGAGATGACTGTACGCATTCAGGCTATTTGTAATAGGTAATGAATAGAAGAATCGGCATGATCGCCCTACAAATATCTGCAGCAAATCACATGAATGAAAGCAAAAGTGAACATTTTAAATAAAAAAGGGCTAAGAAAAAAAACGGTCTGCCACTGCCTCAGGGTGGCTACATGCACTCACACACGTAGGGTTGCAAAATTCTGGGAACTTTCAAAACATTCTCTGGTTTCCCGGAATCCCGGTTGGAGGATTTCCAGAATAAGGAGGGAATAAGTAGGATGTCCAGTGTCCTCCAACCAGGATTTCTGCAAGCCCAAGGATTTTATTTAAAGTTCCCGGAATTCTGCAACCCTACGCACGCACGCACCCACACGCACACTCTTCCTGACATTTGAAATAACTCAAAAAACAACTTTTAGAGAGAGGTGGTATAACACATACACATTAATAGAATGTCAGTGTAGAGAGTGCAATAAATAGCTCACCTGTTTCCAGTTGTCATAAATGATGACTGAACTCTCCTCATCGTCAACTGACACTGTGCGGTTGTAGCCTTCTCCTGGAAACAAACATGCTTGTCACAAACACATACAGTACATCAACATAGTGACACTCAAACACATAGGAACACAAGCTCAAAAAACGCATTGAAGTGGATATACAGTACTGGGAGTCATTCAGCCCATTTGGACTGGTCCAGTTAACCTGGGCCCATACCTGGTATTACACAATGACAGCCTGAGGAGTTGTCACAGATCTGGGACACGGTTATTGTAGATTACAGTAGGGTGCCCCAGATAAAACATTGAGGTTACAGAAAGAGCTAAATACAAGAAAACACCTTGACTCTCCATGCGGCCTAGGATCTAAATCCTGTGTGGATTGCCTCTTCATGACATGTCTCTGGCAGCACCTCCTACAGAGCAGTGTGCCCATCACTTTGCTGGAGCATTGATTGATTGAGTATTTGTCCCAAGACTGGTGTTATTATTACCCTGACCTTCAAGACACCGTAATGACACACAGTGCTGACAAATGGTGATTTGTCTTGTCATCTCTCAGCCTTGAGAGTGCACTCAGAAAATGGGAAAAGTAACTTTCAACATCACGACTCAGAATGCTGTTGATCTTTTGTGGCAGCTGACATCAGGCAATTGACATAAAGTAGATACCATGTGCACACTGCACACACACACTCCAAGGCACAAGCACGCACAAGCACGCACGACACATACATACACACACACACACAGAAGAACTTTACCACAGGCTGTTTCAGAGTCCACAGACAGTGAACTGTCTGACATTCCAGCCAGGGCCAGAGACAGCGCTGATTTTCCAACCCCATTCTGCCCAAGTAGTACGATCCTTATAGCACTCCCATGATACCCCTCCGACGCTTGACTAAATGATTCATCCTGGCAAAGGGTGTCACTGATTGGTAGCGTGGCCGGTTCGTCAATCCCTGGTATCCAATCATGGTCCTCTGATACAGCCTCCTCCCGCCTCAGCTGGTGCTTGATTGGTAGAGGTGTGCTTCCTCTTCTCAGAGGGGGAGCGGTGGTGAGAAACATACTGTACTGAGAGAGACAAGAATGGTAGTGAGTAAAAGACAGGAAAGGTAGTGAGTACACACCCCAATGGACATGGCCCTTATGAGAATGAAGCTGAGAGCATGTTAATACAGGAGAGGAAGTGTTACATGTGACAAAAATAGTTGATACAGTAGGCCTACTACTATGGAGACACGTTTGGGAAACTCTGCTGTACAGCATAGTACAGTGACTGATGGGACTCTGGGCTGCATTAGCAGAAAATAGGTCAAAACATTAATGTCCATGACCCCTCCTCCCTCCCATCCCTTCATGTCACACACACGTACAGTAAGCACGCACAGTATAGAGACTTCACTGCTCTCTGATTTCAACAACACTAAGGGCTGCTTAGGGTAACACAGCCAACAGTCTGCCTTAAACAAAAGCATTACTGGGAGCGTTCAGTGTGTGTACAGCACCAGGTCAGTCAGATGGCCGCCATCAATATTAATACAGCAATTAGTCTAGGTGGAGCACTCACCCTGTGAGCCAGCAACCAGCCAACAGAGAGCCAGGAGCAGGTGTGCCTGTGGTTGAGCTAGAAGCTCCACTCCACTCAGTGACACACAGGGATAGAGTGTACTGCTGGACTCAGGCACAGAACCAATTAGACTAATTGAAAGGGTCTAATGAATTAATCATGGACAAGGAGACTCAGGGGAGGGATAAAGAAAGACACAGAGAAGATTCTGTGACAAGGGAGAGGGGAGCATGTCATCAGCTAATCTCACCCTGACTGACTGACAGGTGATAACTAGGGTAAACAGTAAAACATAGAGCACATGAGGCAATAACAAATATTACAGTACAGACGTGTAAAGGCAATGCTTTGTTGCTATATTTCTGTTTGCTTCTGTTATTAATATTACCACTGTAGAACATCAATTAGCCTACTCTTGCCTCTAGGCTACTATGGTGTTGCCCCTATAGTGCAATAATTAGGCCCACTATTATTTCACCCACTGGTGTTCACATTTTAATTGCAGTGTTGGAATTCCACGTTTAGAGTAATTATACTGCAACAACATACTAATGATAACATTAATTAGGTTAATTTATTCTAAAAGAGAGAAACAAATACTCATTGATGTTGGCCTACATACTGTACATTTCACAACTGAGTGTCCGCACCTTTTGAAGATGACAGACGAGGGGGATAGTGTGAGTTGTGAACATCAACAAAGTGACAGTGTTTCCACTAAAGAGGATGTGTAGCCTACAGCGCACCGGTGTGTAATAATTCAATATAGCCTACTGAACTCAAAGAAAACGTTTGGTCACACATGAACAGCGAGGTGATGCTGAAAAAATGTCTGTCACCTTACCTGGTCTGTCATCGTGTTCAATTCTTCCTCTATTTTTCACAAAGAAAGTGTTTAACTGCGACCATCACTATCTATGTCAAGTCATTTGCGATCGCAGCTCACTAGTGCTTCTCTAGACAGTCACAACGGGAAGTATAGATGCGGGTGAACAAAAGAAGCGCATCTAATATCAATTAACATTGCGAAACCATTTTTCGGCGCAATTAAGTCCTCCAGAAGTCCCTTGGTCTCGATGTGTAGATTTTAATTGAAGAAGAATGCAACGCATGTGTCTAGGTGGCCTGCCCTACACCTGCTCCTGGGAGTGTTATGACTAAGCGGCTTTTCTCGTGCACCGAAAAAAAAACCTTTAGCACGCCCCCTCCTCATCCCCTCCTCTTGTCCCACGTCCAAGAATGCGCTCCAGTGTATACCTGAGTTTCACAGTGCATATCTCTCTCTCTCTCTCTCTCTGAATTGTATACCTGAGTTTCACAGTGCATCTCTCTCTCTCTCTCTCTCTCTCTCTCTCTCTCTCTCTCTCTCGCTCTCTCTCTCTCTCTCTCCTCTTTCTCTATTTTACTAGAATAAGTATGCATCAGGGCCGCGTCCTTGACTGAGAATATGTATTGTCTTGGCTGTCACTGCCTGCATTACCTGACCGCTCTCCCAAAAAATCTTCCACGCCTTTCGGAGTTGACATAGGCCTATACCAGTTCTAACAAATTGCTGACCTGACCATCTATTCAAAACGGTTGGCTTTAAATGGCGCATTTCATTTAATGGAACCGGGAGGCGTTCTGCCTCCGTTGATTGTTCGGGCCGCTGGAGGGAAGCAAAGTACAATTTTCTGGAGAATGTTTGTGATGGAAATTGAGTGGCATTTTCATGCTCCAAGCAACATCTAAATTTAGTGAATTGCTCTGATATGGTGACTGTGAACTCATATGAACCTATTGGTCCTCATCCATTGGATGTTAGAAGCTGCATCAATTTATGATCATATTATTTATGACTGTGTCATTCGGGGGCTTAGGTTATTAGGTTATATGACCTTATAACCTTATAGTGGTTTGTACTCCCATGACTCACCCTGTATCTGTGGTGATCCTGTATCCGGCTGGTTATTAGACCGGGTCGTCTATACACCTTAAGACTGTGTTAGCCCGCTAATCTAAAGCCTGCAGGCATTTTCTCTGAGAGATAACACAGGTCTGCAGGTCTCAGGCAAGGTGAAGTTACTTATCACATGAACAACGTTTCACTGAACCACCTCCAACACACTCACTACACAAAAGGGATCATTAACAAGAGCCCCAGTCACTCCTTGTGGTTGATTGTTACATACTCGCGTGGCTGATACAGCAATTTCCTGTGTCTGTCTATCTCTCTGTCTGTCTGGGCCCCAGCCTCAGCAGCAGTGGTAGCGAGGCAACATGTACTGGTTAGAGGAAGACTGATGCGGACTGAATGAGGATGGAATGCGGACTGGGAGACGAGCTAGCACTCCTCAATGGGCCAGTGGAGATGAGCTTTAATCTGCAGACTTTAATTAAGTCTCATCAAAACATCAGAGCGAGAGCCGTGTGTGTGAGAGAATCACAGTGCAGACAAATCACTGAGATAACTGCACTCATTAACGGCAAGCTCAGCCTGACAAAATGCTGCCTGCTCCATATTAATGGGCTGCTAGGATTATCAAAAGTGTACAGCATGTTTCCAGGACGTGCCCGTTCCACCGGTGCCTGGTCCGGCACCGGTCAGCTGCTCCACTCCGGAGCCAGAGCAGTCCGCTCCACCGGTGCCTGATCCAGCTCCGGTCAGCTGCTCCACTCCGGAGCCAGAGCAGTCCGCTCCACTGGGGTCTAGTCCAGCTCCGGTCAGCGGCTCCACTCCGGAGCCAGAGCAGTCCGCTCCACCGGTGCCTGATCCAGTGCCGGTCAGCTGTTCCACTCCGGAGCCAGAGCAGTCCGCTCCACCGGTGCCTGATCCAGCTCCGGTCAGCTGCGCCACTCCGGAGCCAGAGCAGTCCGCTCCACTGGGGTCCAGCCCAGCTCCGGTCAGCGGCTCCACTCCGGAGCCAGAGCAGTCCGCTCCACCGGTGCCTGATCCAGCTCCGGTCAGCGGCTCCACTCCGGAGCCAGAGCAGACCGCTCCACCGGTGCCAAGTCCAGCTCCGGTCAGCGGCTCCAGTCCAGACCATACGTCAGCCCCTCTCCAGGTTCGGGGTCTCCCACACCAGGGTCCAGACAGGGCCTGGCGTATCGTGGGAGGAAGGAGAAGGGAAGCAACGCGCCAAGGTCCAGACCAGACCAGGGGCGCAACAGGGAGGCGGAGAGTGAGAGGTCATCACGCCCCGAGCCGGATCCGCCTCCGAGGCGGAATGCCCACCCGGCCCCTACCCTGTTATGTTTATGTTGGGAGGGGGGGGGGGGGTACTGTCACGCCTTGACTCAGGGGACGCTTAAATGTTGAGTCAGGGTGTGTATATTCTTTGTTGTGCGTTTTCTATGTTTATTATCTAGAATGTGTATTTCTATGTTGGCCGGTGTGGTTCCCAATCAGAGGCAGCTGTCGCTCGTTGTCTCTGATTGGGGACAATACTTAGGCAGCCTATTGGCACTGTCTAGTGGTGGGATCTTGTTCCGGGTAAGGTTTGTTGTATGTACAACCTTAGGACGTCACGTTTCATTTGTTTGTTGTTTTATCGTGTGTTTATTCAGTGTAAATAAACATGTACGTATATCACGCTGCGCCTTGTTCTGACCCGTCATTAGACGAACGTGACACCATGTGAGAGACGCAGACTTGGTCTGAACCTTTAAGTCTTTACTGACGACTCATCTCTTCAGTAGGTCCTATGATTGAGTGTAGTCTGACCCAGGGGTGCGAAGGTGAACATCAAGGCACTGGAGCGGCGAACCGCCCTTGCTGTCTCTGCCTGGCCGGCTCCCCTCTCTCTACTGGGATTCTCTGCCTCTGACCCTATTATGGAGCCTGAGTCACTGGCTTACTAGTGCTTTTCCATGCCCTCCGTAGGAGGGGTGTGTCACTTGAGTGGGTTGAGTAACTGATGTAATCTTCCTGTCTGGTTTTGCACCCCCTCGGGCTCGTGCGGTGGAGGAGACTAGGGTTAGTCTGTTATATCTGGTGTAATTCTCCTGTCTTATCTGGTGTCCTGTGTGAATTTAAGTATGCTCCATCTAGTTCTCTCTCTCCCTCGCCTCCCGGAGGACCTGAGCCCTAGGACCATGCCTCAGGACTACCTGGCCTGATGACTCCTGGCTGTCCCCAGTCCACCTGGTCGTGCTGCTGCTCCAATTTCAACTGTTCTGCCTGCGGCTATGGAACCCTGACCTGTCCCGGACCTGCTGTTTTCGACTCTCTCTCTCTCTCTCTACCGCACCTGCTGTCTCGACCTCTGAATGCTCGGCTATGAAAAGCCAGCTGACATTTATTCCTGAGGTACTGACCTGTTGCACCCTCTACAACCACTGTGAGTGTTATTTGACTAACAAAATCAACATTTGACCCCTGGAGGTCAGGGCCCCTGGGCCCGGTCGGTATTCGTCCATGATAACTGGCTAGACTAATTTACTAATCTAAAAATTGTTAGCTGACATGGCTAATTGAGTGGCTGCTGATGCAGACACTGCTGATAAGAAAAACTGCTGATACACAACCAAATTCTGAACTTGCACCTTGTGTATTCTACTATTCTAACTCTCAACAGTAAGTTAAGACCCCAACTGAGCTGATGTCGCTCATGCCTGGAGCTGTCCCTGTTTGGAAGTAAATGTTCCATGTCATTGCGCTGTTAGATTACACTGGGATTTGAATGTTCTCTCAGACTGAATTTCAGTGCAACTGAAACACGCACGCCAAGCACACGCACGCACGAACTCACTGATGCACACATACACACACACACACACTCATTCAAAACAACTGATTAGCCTAACTAATCAGCCTTAAGCTAAAGTGATTCCAACCTTCCCAATGAATTTTAAATCAGACTTTTGCTGTCTCTCAATATGAATTGCCTAACGTCCAAATCCAATTACCTTGGAGAGTCTGTTTGTCAAACCAAGCCACTTTAAATACATGGGATGCCCTTTGTGCTGTATTATTAGACCAGACCCAAGTGTGGAGATTGCTCCTCTTGTCCCTGTACATTTAATGAGTTATTTTGTCCAAAACAAGACACTTTCTATCAGCGCTCATAAATCGAGGAACGTCTTTCATCAAGGTTACTATGCCGACTGAAAGCCTAACAAATAGCCCATATGACATGCTGTTTGTGTGTGCATGCGCGTGCTTGCTTGTGTGTGTGTGTCCTCTGTGTGTTGCCTGTGTGTCATAGGGCTTAGTAATGGGGTTATGGGTCTATATTTCCTGCAGTAATCCAGTGGATATGATGTAATAAACCCCCACAGAGTCTAGCTACCAGAGGAGGGGAGTCCTTATTTCATCCTGAACACGAACCTCATTCTCTATACCACAGGAGGCTGCTGAGGGGAGGACGGCTCATAATAATGTATGGAATGGAGCGAAGGGAGTGGCATTGAACACCTGGAAACCATGTGTTTAATGTACTTGATACCGTTCCACTGATTCCGCTCCGGCCATTACAACTAGGCCGTCCTCCCTAATTAAGGGGCCACCAACCTCCTCTGCAATATACTGTATATCTTCCTCATCCACTGCTCACTTCACTACCATTTTGTTCTGTGTTCAATGAAAGCTCCACAGGGATTTCAGTTTATTATATATACAGTACTTGGATAGGTCTTGCCTATATATTGGGCAGTGTAGGTCCCTGAAGTGAGATAGAGTAGAGGGGAAATGAACTATTACGGTGGGTTGGTAGTTCAAATCCCCAGAGAGAACACTGTTCTAATGGAGTGGCCAAAAGGTTACTGGCCTGGATTGGTTTAGGGAGAACTCCAATGTATAAAGCATGACCAATGTGTGTTATGTGCAGCCAGTCTCGAAAGTAAGATTTCAAACACATTAGAATAATTTATTTTGTCAATAATACATTCAAAGGCACATTTATTTTTCCTTTTGTTTACATATTGAACAGTCACATATACACTGAATTCATACCTCTTCACTCTTATACTGTAAATTAAAACACAATATTTTTCCCTTAAGATTATGCACAGCATGCAATTAAAGATGACATCCTTAATGGTGAAACTGCCACGGCTGTTTGAAATATTACAACCACAAAGAAGATACTGCAAAAAATGAACACTGTTTTTTTCACTCTGACATCATTGCACACGCTTTAGAACAGCAGCTATGTACTGCACGATGAGCAACGCTCCCAAGCTCTGCTTCGTCAACAAAACAAAGACAATAATAAGCCCATGGGGCGGACAAGATGAAGGAGCAATGCTAAGTACACTTATTTTTTTTATATTTTAGTCATTTAGGAGATGCTCTTATCCAGAGTGACTTACAGTTACTGAGTGCATACATTTTGCATTCTGGCCCCCGGTGGGAAACTGAGCTACAGGGGACCTACTTATCTCAGTATTGTTCAGGATTGTTTTGTATTAGGGGAGAGTGGGGTAAGTTGAGCCAAAGAGTTAATTGAGCCACCCCTTGTTTCTAGGAAACCGTACACAAAATGATTCTGTGAAAGAGGAAAGCACATGGAAAAAGTGGTAAGCAAGTTAGATCCCAAAAAGTCAAATTAATTTATTGTGTTATAGGTTTGATGGTGCTTGTATCTAAACCAAAGTGGATCGTTTTAAGATTGTTTAAAACATCAGTTGGGGTCTTTATAAGCTACAACACGAGGTACTAAACCTAGCATGAAAGTGCATCCTTGTAGCTGTGTTGGCTAATATAGTCAAAATGTTTGCCTTGGGTAAATTGAGACAATGGCCACCATACCCCATACAAATTCTGATGATATTTTGTCCGTTTTATGCATAATATGCATGGAATTGTTTTGCAATGTGTCTGAACTCAAGATAGTGCATTTGTACTATTACAGAGCAGACATCATCATGCCCCATGTAGACAAATGTAAAACAAGCAGGGGTCTAGCCCCCCTTGAGGTTCTTGAGAGAGCAGCTAAGGAAGTGAGAGAAGGGAAGAAAAAAAGAAGTCCAATCGAGCAGCAGCGAGGAATGACAAAATAGACTGAATGATACTGAAGAGGTACTGTACAAAGAAAACAAACATGTACCTGTGCGAAAGAGAGGCTATGATATAGTAGCAGAGGCACACAAGGTCTTATCTGATGACATGGAGTCTGAGATTGCTAAATGTATCAAGAATTTTGCGGACCAGTTTTATGGGCTTAGTAGCCTCAAATGCAGAGAACATGCCTACGAATTGGCACATCGAAATATCATCCCTGTCCCAGACAACTGGTCAAGAAATGGAAGGGTAAGTGATATTGAACAGAGAGATCTATATCTGAATGTAGGCATACATTTAAGATATACAATATACCACACCCATTACAAGAATTTAACTTTGACCTACCAGCTCCATCACCCACTGTCACAAGACACCATCACCCACTTACCCCAAGGCGGCTCAACTTACCCTGTCCCTATGCTCAATTTGTAAGTCGCTCTGGATAAGAGCGTCTGCTAAATGACTTAAATGTTAAAAATGTTAAATATACCCCATACCCGGGGTAAGTTGTGCCAAGAGACCACTTTTTTGGAGCAAACTATGTTTTCAAAACTGTTATGTTTACATGATTATATCCAGGGATAGACAACGTTCTGAAATATATGTAGATATCTTTGTTAGAAGGAATACTTCATGTCCCTTGACGTAGTGATGCTGAATGTAAAAAATGGCTCAACATACCCCACTCTCCCCTATTGGTTTGGGAGGCATGTTTAGAATACTAACCATGTTGTTGAATTACTGATGGCATAAATGGGTCTCACCCATCAAACATGTTGTTGTTTTCTCTGTGAGAGAAATGCTAACAATATTTCACCCACTTTTGCCTTCATTAATGTCATTTTTATTCCACACACACACACATACCGCTTGATCAGCCCCCAGAATCTGTGTCTTGGTTTTGCTCTCTTCCTTTTGTTAATCCTCTCCCTCTCTCTGCTAGTCCCCCACCTAGTCTATCTGTGTGACGAGTATGAGTTGCTAAGTGACACTTGCAACATGATTGGAAACCTAAGATTGTACGATTCTAAGTCTCTGGTTTTATGACACACCTTCACATTTATGACGCTATAACTCTTCTTCTGGTTAAAGTGTCTCAAACACACACACACACACCAACAGTAGGCTAAAAGGTATAGGCTGTTAGAAGCAAAGTAATTGTGCCCCAAACTGCGTAAGCGTGTACACTGAGTGTACAAAACATTAGGAACACCTACCCCCTTTTGCCCTCAGAACAGCCTCAATTCATCGGGGCATGGACTCTTCAAGGTGTCGAAAGCGTTCCACAAGGATGCTGGCTCACGTTGACTCCAATGCTTCCCACAGTTGTTTCAAGTTGGCTAGATGTCCTTTGGGTGGTGGACAATTCTTGGTGCACACGGGAAACTGTTGAGCGTGAAAAAAACAGCAACGTTGTAGTTCTTGACACACTCAAACCAGTACGCCTGGTACCTACTACCATACCCCATTCATAGGCGCTTAAATCTTCTGTCTTGCCCATTCACCCTCTGAATGGCACATACACAATCAACGTCTCAATTGTCTCAAGGCTTAAAAATCATTTTTTAACCTGTCTCCTCCCCATTCCCCATCTACACTGATTGAAGTGGATTTAACAAGTGACATCAATAAGGGACCATAACTTTCACCTCGATTCACCTGGTCAGTCTATGTCATGGAAAGAGTAGGTGTTCCTAATGTTTTGTACACTCAGCGTATGTAATCACAATCTGTTGTGTAATTGCATTGTGTGTGGATCAGCCTGAGTGGCAAGGTGTGGTGTGTAGTTACAAAGTAGGAAGAGGGCGGAGGTGAGGAAAACGGGGTGGTGGCGCGGGAGTGATAGGCGGTCGCAGGCTTCCCAAGCATTTCCTCAGCGATGGCAGAAGGGCACGGAGCTGACGCACCGCCGGGCGAGACAACAGGAAGTAGAGGGGCGGGTTCCAGCAGGGCGCCAAACACACCAACAAGATGGCCGACAGGGACGCCACCTCCCAGAGGAGAGACACCTCCGCGTCCCCATCTGTGGATGGGGACAGGGACAGGGACAGGGACGAGTTGAGGGAGGAGGAGGACAACGGGAGACCCCCTCCACCTCCGAAGGGATGTTGACTGATTGGCGAGGCAACGAAGCTGACGTAGGGGGACATGACATTGACAAACTCCAGGGCGTAGTAGGGCAGCCAGCTGATGGCGAAGACCAGCGTGGAGCCAATCAGGAGCGCTGTGGCCTTCTTGTTGCGGCGGTCTGCGGCCAGTGTGCCCCGGCAGCGGTGGAGATGGGTGATGATGAGGCCACAGTTGAGGGCGATGCAGAGGAGCGGAGCCACGTAGTAGACCAGGAAGGCTGGCACCAGGAAACCCAGCCACTGGCCACGCCCCACAGACCATGTACAGCCACTGTCAAATTGGATGTATGTGACCTTGGGAAGGGCCATGGTGACAGAGACTAACCAGATCACTGCCACGATGCCGGCTCTGAGAGAGGGGTAGAGAGGAGGTTACATAGCTGATGTGGGCCTAACTGTGTGCAGATGAATGGTTTAATTCCGTACTCACACTTGTGTGGGGCTGGCGGGCGGTCTAGCAGGTGGGGCCACTATGCGGTACCTGAGCACCGACAAGGCGGCCAGACTAAATATATCCACTCCGGCCGTCAGGGAGGTCATGAAGCCCAGCAGCACACAGATACCGCCCCCTAGCTGCCAGTCCTGGGAGCTGGCGCTGAGCAGGACGCAGGGCAGGGTGAGTAGGGCGCCCATGTCAGCCAGGCTCAAGTTGAGGAGCAACACGGAGCTAGGTTTGGAGCGTCGCCGAGGGTTACGCATCAGCACCAGCCACATGAGTAGGTGACCTCCGACCCCCACCAGGAGAGAGAGGACGCTGACCAGAGGCAGCACCAGGGAGAAGGAGATGGTGGTGTTGGTGGACACCGTATTGAAGAGCAGGTTCACTATGGCCGGCATGATGGTGGGAGAGGGATGGAACGAGGGATGGAAGGAACTGAAGTATGATCTAGCTGCTCCCGTTGGGGATGGACTGAGATAGGAGGAGGGAAAGAGGGATGTACATAATTAGAAAGGCACACAAAATGATTAGAGGGAAGAATAAGATGTTTTAATAATTTATGTTATTGTATCCCTTTTATTATTAATCTATTAATAGTTTGTGTTTGTCTGGTGCTGGGTTGGTGAATCACCTGGCTGCAGAACTCACTGGGCCTCCCCTTAGAATGGCAGCTGTGATGACTCAGAACCAGCCTGGCAGGCCAAGTCATCTCATTCAGACACACAATGCTGATGGGTTGTCTGAACAGTCTGTGTCAGTGCTGTGCTGCTTCCCCTGAGAGCAGACATAATGTATTCTCCTCCTCCCCTCCCCCTCCTCTCCCTCTCTTCTCTCCTCTCTTCCTCCTCTCTCTCCTCTCCCTTCTCTCTCTCTCGATCTCACGACTTCTCTCGTCCTCTCTCTACAGATCTCTCGTCTCGCCTCTCGCTCATCATCTCTCTCTCTCTATCTCTCTCTCTCTCTCTATATCGTCTCTCTCTCTCTCTCTCATCTCCTCTCCTCTCTCTCTCTCTCTCTCTCTGGAGAGCACACCTCACGACCTTACATTCAACACAGGCCAGCACATGTCGTCACACAAACTGAAAAAGACATCACATCTGCTCTCAGGTGAAACAGCACTGACACAGACTGTTCAGACTACTCATCAGCATCATAGCGTTGTGTGTCTGAATGAAATGCAAGCTGAGGAAGGGAACAGGAACGAGCTGACCACTGGGAACAGACTGTGACTGTGGTAAACTACCTTGTCAGCTTGATGAGTGAAGTGAACTACTGTATCTATGGCTTGACATTTGGAAAGGTTTGCTGGGTGACAGGTAGCCTAGCGGTTAAGAGCATTGGGCAAGTAACCGACAGGTCGCTGGTTCAAATCCCAGAGCCGACTAGGTGAAAAATCTATCCATGTGCCATTGAGGAAGACATTTAACCCTAAATGCTCTTGTATGTCGCTCTGGATAAGAGCGTCTGCTAAATGACTAAAATGTAAATAGAAGTCCTGAACTATCATCACCCTTCTGTAGATATGATGTGTCAAAATACATCAGGCCTAAATGTATTTGTTCCACATGTTGGCCCAATGAAATCAAAATTCAACCTCCATCATGTACATTCAATAATGATGATATGCTGTAGGCAGATCCACAGATACAGTACCAGTCAAAAGTTTGGACACACCTACTCATTCAAGGGTTTTTCTGTATTTTTACTATTTTCTACATTGTAGAATAATAGTGAAGACATCAAAACTATGAAATAACACATCATGTAGTAACGAAAAAGGTGTTAAACAAATCAAAATATATTTTATATTTGAGATTCTTCAAATAGCCACCCTTTGCCTTTATGACAACTTTGCACACTCTTGGCATTCTCTCAACCAGCTTCACCTGGAATGCTTTTCCAACAGTCTTGTAGGAGTTCCCACATATGCTGACCACTTGTTGGCGGCTTTTCCTTCACTCTGCCATCCGACTCATCCCAAACCATCTCAATTTGGTTGAGGTCGGGGGATTGTGGAGGCCAGGTCATCTGATGCAGCACTCCATCACTCTCCTTCTTGGTAAAATAGACCTTACACAGCCTGGAGGTGTGTTGGGTCATTGTCCTGTTGAAAAACAAATGATAGTCCCACTAAGCCCAAACCAAATGGGATGGCGTATCGCTGCAGAATGCTGTGGTAGCCATGCTGGTTAAGTGTGCCTTGAATTCTAAATAAATCACAGACAGTGTCACCAGCAAAGCACCCCCACACCATAACACCACCTCCTCCATGTTTTACGGTGGGAACTACACATGCGGAGATCATCCGTTCACCCACACCGCGTCTCACATAGACACAGCGGTTGGAACCAAAAATCTCCAATTTGGACTCCAGACCAAAGGACAAATTTCCACAGATCGAATGTCCATTGCTCGTGTTTCTTGGCCCAAGCAGGTCTCTTCTTCTTATTGGTGTCCTTTAGTAGTGGTTTCTTGGCAGCAATTTGACCATGAAGGCCTGATTCACACAGTTCCCTCTGAACATTTGATGTTGAGATGTGTCTGTGACTTGAACTCTGTGAAGCATTTATTTGGGCTGCAATTTCTGAGGCTGGTAACTCTAATGAACTTATCCTCTGCAGCAGAGGTAACTCTGGGTCTTCCATTCCTGTGGCGGTCCTCATGAGAGCCAGTTTCATCATAGGGCTTGGTTTTTGTGACTGCACTTGAAGAAACGTTCAAAGTTCTTGAAATGTTCCGTATTGACTGACCTTCATGTCTTAAAGTAATGATGAACTGTCATTTCTCTTTGCTTATTTGAGCTGTTCTTGCCATAATATGGACTTGGTCTTTTACCAAATAGGGCTATCTTCTGTATACCCCCCACCTTGTCACAACACAACTGATTGACTCAAACGCATTAAGAAGGAAAGAAATTCCACAAATTAACTTTTAAGAAGGCACACCTGTTAATTTAAATGCATTCCAGGTGACTACCTCATGAAGCTGGTTGAGAGAATGCCAAGAGAAAAACCCTTGAATGAGTAGGTATGTCCAAACTTTTGACATGTATTGTAGCTGCGGACAAAAATACTGTGAATGTGTTTATATCATATTTAAAATGTACCTTTCCCTGTTCAACCAACGTGTGAAACGCACTACAAATATTAAATAGAGAGTGAAGGAAGTGGCCAAATATAGGACAGAGGAGAGGGAAGACATGGAATGAGGTGAAACGAGGGACAACGACAGCAGCAATTGAGAACGTATGAGCAATATAGACGTAGCTAATGGGAAATACAGGATAAACTACTTGTGCATTATTTTAGACACATTGAACTCCAGCTGAACCGAATTACAACAATTTATGGTCGGCTATTAAATCCTCTTAGTATCCATGTTCATAATGTCATACATTTAACCAGGATTGTTTCTTTAACACTTTGCACCAATAATCCAAGGGGAATTGGCTCTTATTCAATTCCCTAACCATTACATGACATTATATAATTATGTCTTCAATCACTATAACGCCCCGGCTGGAAACATAATTGAATATAAAGACAAGTGTGCATACTGAAATGACAGTAGGAAGAAAGCTAAACAGAAAAGGGGTCAGTAAAGGACAGCAGCAGTAAGCAGAGAAAACCTTTCTTTAAAGATATGTGTCACACTCACTGTGGCCAGGGTCCTGCTCCAGGGAGAAGTCATCCTTTCACCATCAGTGGCTGCATAAAGAGATGGAGAGAGAGAGGGCACACACCTGCGTCCCACCCTATATCCTCCCTCACTCGCTTCCCACCTCTCTCTCTCTCTCTCTCTCTCTCTCTCACACACACACACACACACACACACACACACACACACACACACACACACACACACACACCACTGGCATACCAGACACCCCAGCAGCCCCTTAAGGGGGGGGGGGGGGGGGGGGGGGGTCACAGAGCTCTGGGGGCCCATGTACCTGTAATCGATGTCTATTTTATTTTCAATTTAATACATAATTTTGACAGTAACCCTCTAAAATAATTCATAAACCTTTTTAACTTCAATATGTACTAGGAAGCTAAGTATTTGTTTCTTGGGCGTCAGAAAAAGTGCCTTAGACCTTGAATAATTGTTTTAATGATTGAAAGTACAAGGGGATATCGGTGAACAAATATCGGTCAAGGGTACGACGGCGCATGTGCAATAAGTGGAGCTTACTCAGATGTTCAAAACTGAACGAGAGTCTAATGCTTCTTAGATAGTTCTTTAGGAATTTTAGCTGGGAAAGAGCGCGAGGATGGCTCATGTCATGCATATTCAGGTACCCTATACAGGACAGTTGTATATACAAACAAATCTATTGGAGGCTGATTAGTATTCTGTTACATCTAACCCTTATTTTACAATCGGCAATGTTTGAATTTCCAACTTTAATTACAGAACTAGTAATTCAATTATTGCCACCAGTCAGCAATCTAAATGTCAGCATTTAGACTGCGATATGTAGCTTCATGAAATTTTAGGCTTAACGTGAGAAAATGAGGACCAAATAGGCCTACCAATAAACATTTATCCATTAGCTAAAGCAAAGCTATACATGCCCTGGAACCACAGAAACCCCATCATCGAGTCGATAAACCTGTCTCAATACTTTGTGAGAGGCTGTCTGGCTGACATATTCTATTTTGTTTTATTTTAGGGAGGGGGTGGGTGTGGGGGGGGGGGGGGGGGGGGGTGACTCTGACCTTGCGGGGTCCAGAGAAACTGCATTATGCCAGTGATACACAAACACACACAGTGTAGTTCAGAGGCAATGGACTTTGGTAGTGCAATCCCAGCTAGCACATTTGGTTTCTTGGAAGTTGTGGGAATGTACGTTTTTGATTTCCCATTGGTTCTGGGAACAAAGTCATAAGTTTCCTGACTGGTAAAACAGAACGTTTCATAAATAATCTGAGAATGGAAGTGAAAATGTTGCCTGTTCTGGGAACATGAATTGTTAGGTTGCAGGGAGGTTCTGAGAAAGTTTTATTATGGTTTTCCTGAGAGGTTTTATTAACGATCTGACAACAGACATTCTAGGTTATTTGAAGGTTTTTGAATAACTTCCCTAAAACGTACACTGAATGTTTCAATAAGACTTTTACTAACGCTGATAGATCAGTTTGGGTTAACTGTTTTGAACTCCAAACACAGATAGGACACATGGAAATTCATTTGCTTAGGCATTAATCATGCGGCACAGACAATAAACCTATGATCTTCTGTTCTCTATCCATGGAATTAGTCAACTGCACCACTAGGATGGAGCTAACATACCATGTTTTTTTAACTCATACAAAACTGTTAATTTTAGTCTATTCAAACAGACCCCAACTCAAAGGAAACATGCCCTCATGAAGATAAGGTGTGGCCAATTAGTGGGAGCAGCCAACACACCTGACAACACTTAACAAAATAGAGGATAGAGTACGTTTTGTTGATGCTGAGAACGG